GACCTACTGCATCAAACCGAGACACGTGGGGTCCTTGTTAAAACGTTTACTCTCACGTCCCCTTGCATGGTGTGTCGGGCTTGGCAAGTTTGGGTGAGACCCAGACTTGCCTGCTCCTGAGTTGAGTGCCTGCTGAAACTCCTTGCCTCACCCTCCCTTGGGGGTTCTGCATTGGTTGCTCAGCCCAGCGGGTGGGAAGAGTGGCAGAGCTCTGTGTTGTCGCTTAGCATCCCACGTGCTTTTGACAGTGACACCAGAGTGGGAAGGTCCGACTAGTCTTATTTCTGCCCCTTCCCAGCTCCGTTATCTTGGGTAGGTTCACCCTTTGAGCCTCAGTTTCACCAAGTATAAAATGCAAGAGTGGGACTAGAGGAATTGAAAGAAGCCACAACAATCTTTGCTTCTTTGAAACCCAAGGAGTGAGTCGGCCCCTTCTTCTTATCTGTCCTTGATAATTCTAGCATTCTTACACATCCAGAATCCTTCATTTATTTCAGATTTTGTTTCTCACAAGTGAGAACCGCCAAATTGGGCTTAAAATGATTAGTCCTCCAGACAACATATAAAGTGATTATGTTAAATGAACCTAAAACCCTGTTCCCTTTTCTCTGCTAAAAGAATGAGTTTAATCTCCTTAGTTTTTATCTTTGAAGATGTTGAATGGAACTCCTAGCCTTCGGCGGTTATCACTGTGTCCAGAGCAATAGGCACGTTCCAGTCTTTTGCAGCCTGGACTGTCTAAAACCTAATTTGAGGCCATGGCTAATAGAAGAGGGGATGACCTGTATCAGCCAAGGGGAGAAAAAGCATTTGCTTAGGACGAGGGAAAGACACAGCAAGAACCAAGGAAAATAAATCCGTAAGCAATGGGCTTCATCTTTCCTACACTTTCGTCCCATTCTTCAAAACCTCCAAATTCTCCCCTCATTGAGGCCAGCTTCAGACTCTGGAGAACTCGGGTTATGTTGGCTGAGGTTCCAAGCATAGGCCTAACCAGTGGAAGTCTAAAGAGGCTAGAATGATTTCACTTTCCTTTAAAGAAAGTTAGGTATTTTTGAGCATTCGCGAAGCACTAGGCTCTATGCTAAGCTTGTTATGTGCAAGAACTTATCTAATCCTCAAAACAACCCTTCAGAGTTCGGAGATTATTATTCCATATTTAGAAGAAGAAACTAAATACTTAAAAAGGTTACATAATGTGCTCAGAGCCGCAGAGCCAGAATTTGAATCCAGCATAGTCTGATTATAGTACCCACATCCTTCATCCATTTTCACCGTGCTGTCTCTCTACAAAATCGGGGAACAGCTTGCTACTAAGCTTTGCATAAGCAGGCCCCCTCAACGTGCAGCCCCTTGGCATTCCTCTTGAACCAGATTCCCCTCCTGTACCCACCAGGAAAGCTCTTAGAGAGTAATTCTCCTCTGATAGTACAACATAAGAAAAAATTGTTTCAATTTGCCAACGAAATTTTTAGTTGACCTTTGGAGTAAGTTTCTCATCCTGCTTCTCTTTGCTTTTCATGGGATTCAGTTTCTGAGGGAATGCTGGGATATATACTTGGCAATATTAAATGTTTGTATTGTCCTATTATAATAATGAAAGGATGCCGTGAAAATTGATGGGGATGCTGACCTCATGGAATGATGGCGTAAAAAGTAATAAAGAATCCGAAAGCTTTCTGAAGGGTCGGTGTATTAAACATGCAGGACCGCCCCTGTGGGGAGAGGGTATGGTTTCGCGAGATGTGAATGTTTAGCCTTTTTGCCGAAAACAACAAAAAGTGAATTTGGCAGGGTTTTTTTTTTTCTTTAATTGTTAAAAAGGAATTGTGTTGGAGTGAGGGCTGTAACTGATAGTAAAAATCCAGAACCCATCCAAGAATATATTCTATGCGAGCTTTCACTAATCAGGTAAAAACAGAAAGGGGGATTTTTGCCCTTTTTCCTGTAACCTTGGCCATGTTTTATAATAGAGCAGAGCTAGGACGGTAGATTTTGAGTTTGAGGCAAAATAAGGAACCTGGGTAATTCTCAGAATGGACACTGAATTCTAAGTGATCTTCATGGAAAAGCGAGAAGAGGTCTCCCATGGCAGTGGCCTCTGGGTTGTGGGTGTGGCTGTGTGTGTGCAAACGCTAGGGGTGTGTTTGCGACAAGGTGTTATTACATTTGAGTGGTAGAAGGGCAGCATGGTAGACATCTGGATGGAGTACAGAGGTGGGGATTCCTTTTGATGCTGAGAATTTGGATTTCCTCTACTTGGTCTTGGTAATTACCCCCAAATTAAGTTGCAATTAATATTCATCGGACTCTTAAGTAAATATTACCTCTCACCCGTTGATTTGTAATGTTCAGTATGGCAGCCTACTTGTTTTAAAAATGGTTAACATATATATGCCTTCTTGCCCCGTGGTAACTTTTAAGACAAAACATTTTTTAAAAATCTAAGAATATTTTGGTTCTACCATCTAAAACCTTAAAACACATTTAAAAAAACAAATAACTAGAAAAAATGCCATGGCTAACATTTTAATTGTTCTAACGGAGCCACTTTGGAAAACTAAATTCCTTTAGCATTATGTGTTCAGAGCATCTTTGAGTTTGGCTGTTCAATAACTTACCAAAGAACAGAGGGTGAGTAACATAAAGTGGCTCCTAATATGGTATCATTTTCATTTCCTGTTTGTGGAAAGATAAATGCTAACACTGTAAGGCTTTTTCCTTCTTCTTAATTTATTCCTCCCTGCACCACAAGGGAATAAAAAGGAAAAAAAAAATCAAATGTGATATGGCTTGAGACTGAGTCATCCAGTTAAGATAAGCCGAAAGCTTTTTCTCTTGCTTTTGTGCCTTTTCTCTTCCCTCTGCCTTTGCCCAAATGCTGAAACACCCCTTTCCCTTAGAAAACACCTTTATTTTTAAAGTGTTTTATTTGACTTTAATTTTGGAGTAATTCAGCTTACAAAAAAATCAGTATTTCTTTTTTTTTTTTCTCTTTTGAGAATTTATTTTTAAATAATATCTCTACCCACCATGGGGCTCAAACCTGCAACCCCAACATCAGGAGTCACTTGCTCTACCAAGTGCCCCAGCCAGGAGCCCCCCAAAATGGATACTTCAAAGATTTAAGGTTAATTATATGACACAGAAGAAATGAGTCCCTCCCCAGTTCAAAGGCATTATTTTGGATACGTGGTCTATAAAAGTGCTGATCTAAGTAAGACTCTCTCCACATCCCTCTCTCTCGTTCCCTTTCTCCCTCTCTCACTCACTCATTCACTCGCGAGCGCTCTCTCGGCCGGTCACTCACTCATTACGTCTACATTTCCCCAAAGTTCCACAGCCCTTCTCTTAACTGTACCTTTATCTTTTGGAGATGTACTTCCCACTTACTTCACAGATGTAACTGTTATCATGTCTGGTATTTTTGCCCAGAGCATCTTTGCCATAGACCTCTTTGCTGCAGTGATTTTGACCACAGAACTAATTGTCCTGAAGCAATTTAGTCATAAGAGATTTAAAAAAAAAAAGAGAGAGAGAGAAACTGGTTGGCAATTTGGTTTGACACTTTGGTTTCATTTCTCCACTGACAAAGTACTTCCATGTTTACATTATATAAATCTTAACCCTCATGCTGGGGTGTGCCACAGCATGGAGTTTTCAAGCCCTATCTCCCATAGAACTTTGGAACATCTGTCAGGGGACATGTGACAGTATGCAGAGCGCAAACAACAATGGAGATGGCTTTCGCAACCGAGCACAGAGCTCAGTTACAAACCTGTGTTTGAGTGTTTGGAAACTCCTGCCTCTTGTAATAAAGGAAGAAATTTTATCAATAAAAAAAAAAATGCCATGCTGAACGAGGATGAATCAAAGCCACAAAAAAATGTAAGACGATGAAGAAAAGAATTTGAAGCTAAGTGAAATGCTGAGGTACAATCCACAAACGGAAATCCAGATTTGTGCTATTATTGCCACCGTCTCCACTCTGTCTTCTGAATGTGTCCAAATATCTTTTTTTTTTAGTTCACAGGAGAATCCTTTTCATTTTGTTACTCATTTTTTTTTGGTTTCCTTTTGTCCTTCTTCGTTAGCATCCCTCTTTTATTTGTCATGATGTTATCCTTTATGGTAAAATTGTCTTCTGGACAGTCAGTTGTGTGGCCAAAAAGCTTGTGGCAAAGACGCTTACGTGAAAACTATGTAGAATCAATTATTTTTTGTCCCTTATGTCCAGCTGTCTTAAGTTATCAAGAGTACCCTCATGTTAAAACGGTTCAAGGCAAGCATAAAGAAGGTAGCATCCAGTAAGTAGTATTTGAGTGCCTCCAGTGTACTTTTGATTAAAAACTTGGGCGCCTTCAGAAGCTAATTATCTGTACAATGAGAAGACTTAAATTGTTGCTAAGATGAAACCAACACGTAGTAGGTACTCACATAATGCGTAAATGATTAAGCTTATTCTCCATTCCTTTGAACATGAGACCTTGTCATCCCTTGCAGCCCTGTGCCTGCCCTGCTAATATCTCTTCCCAGCACTGTGCTAATCCATGCCTGCCTGTTAAGAAAGGTGAAGTTACTTTTGCATTAATGCCCCCATATGTCTCCGAGCTTTTCCACAACTACAAAAGATGAATTTATGAGTTTTAGCTACCTCGCTCGTTTTCCTTTGGCTTCCTCATGAATAAGATTGGTTAATAGACATGATTCACATTTTCGTCTTTTAGCTGTCTGTGTAACATGGGACTCCTTGGTGCCAGCAGGTCTAGAACTTCCCAGTTAAAAGCTAATGCATCTTGTGTTGAGAAATCTCACACAGACACCTCCAGTTACTTCGAGTTTGGCAATGGTTGTGTGGATTTCAAAACGATTAAGCAATGAGAAAGATTTTGTCATGTGCAATGGTGCTATAGTTTAATTTGGAATATGTATCCTTTTGGATGTTAAAATAGTAATGCCTCTGTATTCAAAGAAATAACAGAGCATTTCCTTCCTACTAGCTTGCAAAAGACAAAGAGCGCCTGCAAGCCATGATGACCCATCTGCACGTGAAGTCTACGGAACCCAAAGCCGCCCCTCAGCCCGTAAGTACTGAGCTGCACTGGGGAGACTCCACAGTAGTTCTGTGCTGCCGCCCCACCCCTAAGCACATGAGGCAGGAGAACGTATTCTGGCAGCTGGTAACACTGAAGGGTGTAAGTCAGTGGAGTGTTTCTGGTGACCTTTTATGAAGAGGTGCAATGTGCAAGGCGTTTAGGAACGTAGAGGATGATTCAAAGACAGTCCTTGGCCATGAGGCCTAACAACTAGCTCTTGGGGACAGATAACTGGTGTTCTACCAGGGAACGAGAATACATGATGATAGGTCCCGGAGAGGGGTAAGAGTCTTTCCAAGTGGTGTGAACCCGGCAAGAAGACAGCTAGACCATGGAGTCAGAGAAAGAAGGCATTTCAGCCTGCATTAGCCAAGAGACAGCAGGTATGAGAAAGGGAGGGTGGGCGGGGCCGGTCTCACTGTCACAGACGAAAGAAATAAGAAATAGCACACTGTAGGACTAGCTGGAAGCTAACATTGTGGAGGGCATCTAGTGGTTATTAGAGAGTTAGAAGTGAATATTACCCTTTTGCAGTTAGGGGATCCCACATGGTACATGGAAATTACATTTATGTTTTAGGAAATCTCCTACCTCTTGTCTTATTTCCTTTTCCTTAACCTTGAAGAGTGCCTTCTGAGCACAGACAGTTAATATCTAAGCAGAAGGATGGTTTCTAAACCCCAAATCCTGTCTTGGGCCTCATTCCTTGCTATAAATTGATCTCTTTAACAGTTGTATTTCTCGTAGACTTACATTTCTAAAAATCTCCTTAGTAGCTTCTACTGATTATTCAGAATGGAGAGAGTGCCTTGCTTCTTGATTTTTAAGATTTGTAAAATTTAAAGGTACACTGCCTTTATTTGATTTTGCTTGGAGTCACTGTGTGAAAATTAATTGAGCGTTGACAATCTATAGTTAGTACCAGCAATTTTAATCGATATGCAATGATGCAGCATAATGGCAAAGTATTGGTTTATCTGTTTTGACTGATTTTTTTCTATAAATAAAGCAAACATACACCCATATACGTATGATTTATGATGATAGAAATAAAACGGAGTCAGACTATTAACCCGGCAAATATGGTAGCCTGCCAGGATGCAGTTGGCAGACAAAATTAATGTCTGAAACAGAACACATTACTGAGATATAGGACATAAAATCATTAAACACTTTGCGCATCCATTTTTACTAGGAAAGAACCCTTAGTTTCCATGTGTTTTGCACTAAATGGCCGTAGGACTGAATGTGTAGGCTACCAGAAAGAAAGGGAAACAGAAAAACCTAGGCCATTCGGTATGGTAAGACCCCGAAATGACTTGTTGGGTTTCTCCAGTGGGCACAGCCAACTGCTAAGGGGATCGATAGCCTTCGGAACTCTCTTAAAGGCTTCGCGTGGCTTTTGTTTGAAGTGGCTTTTTCCCCGGGATGAAGGGTATGGGTCTTTAACCTTGGTAATAGGGGAGAGAATGGGATCATCTCCTCCTTCCTCCATGGATTCAGAGCAATGATAGAATAATATGTGGACTCAGGACTCTGGGAGGGACTCATTTTGTATCATGGGGCTCCTTGGGAGGAGGAGGGATAAAAGTAGAGAAGGATCTGGGAAACCCCATGGGGCACTCTGTGAGGGCCGGGGCTGGGTGTTGGCAGAGAGCGCCACATAGGTAAGCCTGCCGAGGCCACGAAGGGACCCTTGGGAATCTCCAGGAAGACGTGTGTGAAGCAGCCAGTAAACAGGGAAAAGCAGTCTTGGGGGAAATGCACCAGGGAAGAAGGCTTGTCTTGATTAGTATTTTAAAAAAAAAAAATGTTTTACATTCTAGAAAATTATAACTTTGAAGGGGACCTCCTACTAAATTTATTTTTAACTGTTCTATTGAAAATTCTCTACCACTAGTCAACATTATCTCTTAGTAGCTCAGCACAGTATTTCTTTATTAAAAGAAATAGGCACGAATATTTTTGACTGAAAAATTAATAGCTTTTGAATTCATACACAGCAGGTTTTCTTTTGCAAAGAAGTCCAATATCGCTGCACAGCACTTCTATAACCATTTATTTAGTGTCCAAGTCAAACCTTTGACAGCTAGAGCAGCGCTACAAGCCAATATAAAGAACTCCAAGATGTAAACCAACAATAGGCCGTCTGTGTGAGGTTTGCCATTGTCAAATACATAGATTGTTTGGATTAGTTTATGTAAATGTACTGTTGTATTACCCTTTGAAAAAAAAAAAAGATCACATTTGTGTATGAAAAGTGGTTCCCTTCACAGGCAGCATTATAAATTCCTTATCCTTTAACTTACATGTAAGAAGTAAAAATTGGTGCCTGACAAGCATATATTGTGTGACACTCTGTTGCCGGAGTGAACCTGCCTTCTTTTCATTTATTGGAAAATAGAAAATTTTATTACAGATACCATCTTATAAATCAGGAATTATTAAAATATGTATAGGTGAGGCATTGGGAAATTAATTATAAAAGGTAGACGTGTCGTGTTCTGCATAGATTTTTCACTTCCTTGCCAAAAAAGAAGGGTGGAGGGAAGGCACAGGCATTTCGCAGACCCTTGGTTCTTTCAATTTGAGGGATACAGAGCTATCTGATGATCGATTCTCAGGTGCAAAATATTCGTTTTCCCTGTAATTAATTTATTCCACCTTAAATAATGGAATGCACCATGTATCCTTCTAGAATCTTTGATTTGAAATAAGCAGCCATCAGGATTCAGATCTAACCATAGATGGGGACTTTTCATGTTACAGCCTTGCCAGTAAGTTGATAAAGTTTTTTTTTTTTTCTTTTTTCCATTTCTGTTTAAAAGGAACTTCATGTTTATTTTAAAATTCTTAGTCACTAAGTGATAGAATGCTTTGCTGTAAACGTTGCTTTTCACTGAATGCCATTTGGGTGCTAAGTGTCATTTGTTGTATCCAGTCATCCAACCTGTCCCTGCTTCACTGCATCGGAGAAACTGCCAAACCCTTCTTGGGTTGTTCTTCCCTCAGCTCACAGGCACGTTCCCTGGACTCTGCCATGGGAGAGCTCGTCTTCCCATGCGGGTAGCGGTGGGATAGATATGCCCAGCTCCGGACAGTCTCGAGTGTTGAGACCCGGCTCCAAGCTCATCGCCCCCTGGGGGTGCATAGGTGAGCCTGAGGAGGAGTTCCCAGCCTTCCTTCTCCTTAGGACCCCTTCAGTGACAGCGCCTCCTGCTTTGCCATAAAATTCTTTACACCAAAGAAGAACTTTCCTTCAGTAATTATTTATACCCGGCGCCCACCCGGCGTGTTATTTCGGGAAAGGGAATTCCTGCCTTTAAAGTCAAGCTAGTTTATCAACAAGTATTTATGAAGTAAGCTACTAAAAGCATAGGGCCCCGTCCCTGCCACTGAGGTGTTTGCAGTCTTGTGGGACAAACTAACAGCCACACACACTCACTGCGTGACCTGGGCCCCATGTCGGTGGAACGGCCGACCTGCATCGGGGACTGAGGGAGACTTCGAGGAGAAGTGGTGTCTGAGATGGAGAGGAGTCGGATCTGTGAGACTTTCCTTGGGTTCAGAGTAGGGGCGTGTGTCTGTGAGGAAGGCGACGGGGAGAGGAAGGCGTGTCACGGGCTCAGTGTGGAGGAAGCAGAGGGCCGGCCAACATCAGATAAACTAAGCTTTCCGCTTTTGAATTTATTTTATTTGTCAGCTTTTGCTTTTATGAAGGCTGGGCCCTGCATGGAATAGGAGACGTAAAAGTTTCCCAGAGCGGCCGTATGTTCTAGCAATTGGGTAGGCACAGCGGGAAAAGCCTTTCTTGACATGAGTTTTAAAAGACTGTTCTCCTTTCCGTGTGAAGAGAAGCAAAAAAATCAGACGGTAGTAAACTATCCTGATCAGACTGATGGCTATTCTTTTGTTCCCGACTCAGTAACATTCTCGGAGTAAACACCAGAGTGTATTGCTTGGGGCTTCACGTCTCCACGCTCGCTCCATGGAGGATTTGCTGAGCTGTTTCCTCGGAGGGAAGCATAACTCAGACGACAAAACAATAACAACAAAAAGAAGCATGTCTGTGTTAGGACTTTATTAAGTTGTTAAGGATTTTTTTTTTTTAAGACTTTCCCATCATAATGTCAGGCGACTCCTGTAAATCATAGTTTATAACACTGAGAACACGAGAGGGACACGTTACTTCAGGGTATTCCTGCTCACCGGAACACAACTCCTGACCCTGGCAAAACCACATTCCTTCAGATTTGGTGGGCGAGTAATTACAGCGTAGGTAGTATATCCTTCTTTATGAAAATGTTATAAAACGCTTACAGGAACTTGGATATTTGAAGCGAAATGCAGTGTTACATTTTCCTTTTTACGCATTCTCCTTTCCTCCAACCATAGCAATTAGGACTGTTTTGAAATAGTTTTTAGCTGCTATAAAAACAAAGTGTCCCCCGCCCCCAGCTGAAAAGGGGATCTTTTAACTCTTGAAGAAATGGCTGATCCTCTGGGCTGCTTACAGCTTTGCTTTAGGGTTAGGGAAACAATGCTAGGCAGCCATACAAGATTCTGTAGTCCAACACACACAAGCTATTTTTATATACTGTTTCTCATAAAGCCCTCTCCTCCCCACCCCTCCCCTCCCCTCCCCTCCCCTCCCCTGTACCGTCACTTTCTCATCCACTGCCCTCTGCCAGCGCCTGGCCCAGTGCAGTAGCAGGGACACCACACCAGAGCCCCCCCCTGCCGTGTGCTAGGCTCCCCACGGACGCCCCTCTGGCCTCAGGAAGGCCGGCCCGAAAGCCAGCCTCTCGCGTCTAGAAACGCAGTGCAGTTAACGCAGGCCTCGAGCCTGCTCAGGGCAGTAAAACACGAGCAGCAAAACGAGTTCTGTGAGCCTCAAAGTCCCTACTAAGCAGCTAGGTCCCCTGATGTTTGGGTTTCAGGTCTGTCTTTTGTTCTCAGGATCTGTTTTCATGTGAGGCAAGAGCGCAAACAAAAATAAAAATGAGTTCTTATGGGAATACTTACGACAAGTCTGTTTCTGTCCGGGGTTTACATCAGCGGTTTGTTTATTTTTTAAAAATGTGAGTGACTCATCATCTTTAAAAGAAGAGAGGAGGTTACTGTTGAAAACCTCGAGATTAATCTCTGAGGAAAGGGCTCAGCCGAGTATCAGGCAGCTGACAGAGTTGCGTCTGGGATGCGTAGGCTTCCCAGGATAGTCCTCGTGGAAGGGAGCTGGGGGGCAGCCGGTGGTCCAGAGCTGTAAAACAGCCTGTAAGACAGAAAACCCAGAAAGAAAACCCTACAGCAAGTTGAGGTGACGTACGAGTTCAACTCCTGGCCAGACCCTCACAGCCATTATTCTCTGCCGAAGCCATCACATGACGGAAACTTGCCACATAGAAAATATCAGAGTTACTAACTTTCCTAAACATAGCAACTCCTTTTGAAATAGAAAATGGACACAGTAAGAAAAATAGGAAAAGAAGCCCTCCCAGCCTCCCAGTCGGATGGATCCCTTCCTGCTCTGTGCCCCGGGGGGGGGGTGGGGGGGTGGGGGGGGATTATTTTTAAAACCTTAACTACGATCAGAGACACGAAGCGCACATGCTTTCATTTCTAATTGATGATTGTATTAAGATTTAATAGTTTACAATTAAGATGAATATTTCAAGATTCTAGCAAAACCCACACCGTTCCCGATTTGCTCTTCTGTTCTAAGGCTAATTAATTTTTCTTCTTTCTTTCTTTGTGTGTGTGTCCACTGTTTTCAGACAGACCTTAATTAAAAGAGCAGGTCTGGTTTGAACACAGAGCCTGTTTTGAATCCTCCTTCCCCTGCTCCATGTTATCGCTCCCTCGTGACCTTCCTCCCTGAAGATGGTTTCTCCTCAAGACAAGCATGTGATCATCAAACAAAAGTTTAAAAGTTAACAAACTTCTATGGCAGTTGACAAGGTTGACATTTCATTAACTTGTTACTTCAGCCTTCAAATGATTTCACGAAGCGCAGCATCCCCTGTTTGGAGTTTACAGCTTTTTGTTCTTCCTTCCCTCACAGACTGCAGTCATGTTTAATTTGGAATCGGGGCTCCTTTGGCAAATTAGCAATTAGAACAATTTTGTGGGAATATGTATATGTGTCATTAGTTTTCCTGCAAATTAATAGCAAGGGCAGAGGTCAGGCAGAAATTTTCCACTTGACTGCCGTTCCTCTATTGAGACTTGGCACTTGGTTGTGGAATGGCCACAGCTGCTCTCAGCCACCCTCTTCCTGTAGGAACTGTCTTTTAATTAGTTTACCTCACAGCCATCATTACAAATATTACTGCCTCCCCTCCTCGAAGTAAAATTACTGTTTCTACAAAATATTCCAGTGACATCTTGCACCACCGCACATTGGTGCTGGGGTCACTCGAATGCAGCATTTAATCATCAGATCACCTCCATCCGCGTCTCCTAATTAGAACCCTTACAATACATTTTTATCTGGTAATTAGCTGAGATTGGCTGCTTCCTCTGTGGCTTATTAGAGACCGCCCAGCAGTGGGTGTAAATCACGGTGTCATTTGTCAAGCCTGGTAAGCCCCCTGTCCGCTCTCTTCTGAAGGCTTCTTGTTTATTTCCATTTGCTACCTGTGCTCAGAAGCCTCCAAAAACGCGACTGCGTGTTTCTTTGTGGGCTGTGCGCACCCTGGAGGGATTTTATTTTGCACTGTTGCTTTTTTGGTACAAACAGCCCAGGTGTTAAGACCTTTGGTAAAAGCGACAGATGTCCCGATTCTTTCCACGTTTCATGACACGATACCGTGTGACTTGTCTGATCTACGTGAGCAGCAGGAGATGGATTTGTACTTGCCCAATGTTTACATGAGTTCTGATTGTTTCGGGTGTAGTGGTGTTGGTGTCCTTCCTCACAGAACGGGAAAGGAGGAGGCACCGTTCTTGAGGCCGCCGTGTTTCTGATTTTCATTACGTGTTTCACAAAGTTACGGTGTTTAGGGGTACTGTTCTTGAATGGAAAAGAAAAGCCAAAAAGTAGAGTTGGTCCTCAGAATCGCTTTATGGTCGTTACTCACACTCGCCTTTGACCAGCGTCTGTATTTGATGTTAAGTTCTTCCGGGGCACCAATTAAATGTTCTGTCCCTGTTTTTGTCATTTCTGTTCCAGATGCCTTCTATTTGCTCAGTGATATTTATTGAATGTCATTTATAGGCGGGGATTAAAGCTATTCACTGAATCTTTTCCAAAAATAAGCATACAGAAAAAGGAAGCAGGCTCGTGTTTATTTTTCCCATTTAACTGGGCCTGGCATCACAAGTGTGCATGTGACTTTGGGTTCAGGTTCAACATAGAGGCAAGGTATTTAATCGATCACGAGCCTCAGTTTGCTCATCTGTAAAATGTGACTAATCACATCTCGCTTATCAGTGATGGTATGAGACTTCCGTGAAATCGTGCAGGGGCAGGTGATTTATAGCATGGTTTCTACAGACGGTATCCGTGACTTTACGGAGTGTCTGGATATTCTTAGCCCAGCAGCATCTGAATTTTAAAAGCTGTATCTTTATGAGCAGTAGCCTTTCAGGCACTAATTTCCTTGACCCGTTGCTTGGGCTGATGTTGATACATAGTGTTACTGTACTGGGTCAGTGATTAAGGCCCACGGCAAAGAGGAGGTCGGCCCCCAACCTTCCCCCTTGGCTTTTCAGCTCTGCTGTGTCCCATGGCTGCTCCTCTGAACTGTAAGCACTTCGTCTGCAAATGTGTGTCACGAAGTCAGGTTTCCAGCACTCGTACAGAAAGCAGCTCCCAGCACTGGCCCAGCTTGCTGGGGGATTTGTAAGGGCAGTGTCATCTCCACAGCCCTCTCAGGCATGGGGGTCGGGAGAAGGGCCTGGCGTGAGCAGAGTCAGCGTTTCAAGAGGGGAGTCAGAAAGCATCATACAAGTACAGGCTTGCAACCCGGGATTCTTTGACAAGTACTGTGTTTACATTTTTCAATTAGTATTTACCTAACAACATTCGATCCTTCTTTTTCTCCAAATTATTTATTTTGCTGTGCTGTTTTACGGAACCACCCGAAACACATCGGAAGCATTCTCCTGGCCTTTTTCATTACAAGAGGACAAGTAGGGTTGAGTCTTCTCAACAAATCACACCTTTCAGTATGCTCTTTATGAATCCGGAGGAATCTCATTTTTAATACCTTATACAAATAATGAATGCCTTGTCCGTCTGTAGTGGTGGAATACTTACTTTGTTAAATGATTTGAAATGTGGTTTGAGAAAAACGTTACCAAATAAGCCTACTTTGCATAAGGGTCATGGATTGGGGGCTGCCTATAAGTATGTGAGATGGCAATTATGTGTAAATGGTAATCTGTTGCAAACAACCAAGTTCTTTAGCATAGCCAGACTTAAATTTCTGGAAGAACAAATTTTGGGTGAGGGGGACAAGCCCATTTCTCCAGTCTTATTGAAAAGCACTTCAAGGGTAAGGCCAAATGGAGAGAAGGAATAAGTGTGCCTTCATTTTCCTCTATACTACTTCAAATAAGCAATCCGCTTTTCCTGACTTGATGCTGTAGATTCAGTCCTATTACTGAACATTTGAAACTTGAAGAAAAAAATTTTATAGTTCCCGATCTTTTGTATGTCATTTTTTAAAAAATTAACAGGTTCCAATCCTATATTTGTTAGAGTTTAATGAAGATTACATATAAGGCTTTCAAAGATTAGTCTTCGCCAACCCAACTGATACAACTCAATGATGGTTTTCTGGATCAGTGCCATTCATTTTAATATGAGTCATAGGCTCTACATCTTTGTGATGGCTTCCCCTCTGAAGCAGCCCCTCCCTGTGCTGGCCAGCATGGTGGCCACTGGCTACGTGTGGCTATTTAAGTAAAAGTCTAGGGGCACCTTGGGTGACTCTGTCTGTTAGGCATCCTACTCTTGGTTTCGGCTCAGGTCGTGATTTCAGAGTTAGTGAGTTTGAGCGCAGAGCCTGCTTGGGATTCTCTGGCTCCCTCACTCTCTGACCCTCCCCTGCCCCCTCTCTCTCTCAAAATAAACATTTTTTAAGTTTAGTTTTGATAAAAATTAAGCAAAAACAGCTCCACACTTGAACCAGCACATTGCAAAAGTGGTGTTTGGAGAGCGCGGGTCTAGCCCAGTGTATCCGAAGTGGTGGCTTCTACCGGAACTCCATCTCCCTCCATGCGGTCTGCTAAGCACAGTGTGCTACTCAAGAGGGTTCAAAAGCACAGATGCTGCAAAGACGGTTCTTCATGACTGAAGAAACGTTTTGACCCAGACCTTGTCAGACTCACTGGGCTAGGTAACCCCTTTCTGCAAACGCTCGGTTTGGAAAACACCTGTGTTTCCGCGGGTCAGGAGGACATGGCCAGAGATCCTGTAAACCGCTAAGTGCCCTGTTCTTACATGGGACCTCATCTCCTATTTCAGTTGATTGTAAGTATCTGTTGAGAGAAGCAGAAGCAGCCAGGCATTCCCTGCCTTGCGCCTGCCGGATTTCACATGCCTTCTTGCTCACTGTTTCTTCTGAGGGTCTTCTAAGAATTCTTCTTTTCCTCGCAGCTGAATCTGGTATCGAGTGTCACGCTCTCCAAGTCTGCATCGGAGGCTTCTCCTCAGAGCTTACCTCATACTCCAACGACCCCAACCGCCCCCATCACTCCTGTCACCCAAGGCCCCTCCGTCATCACCACCACCAGCATGCATACGGTGGGACCCATCCGCAGGCGGTACTCAGACAAATACAACGTGCCCATTTCTTCAGGTAGCTACTCCAGCTTAGCCTCATGTGGACTCGTACTACGCAATTCTTGTAGACCAGCCTCTTTTTAAAAAGTGATGATTAATAGGACAATGATTCTCATTTAGCAGATATTGCGCAGAACCAAGAATTTTATAAGAACGCAGAAGTTAGACCACCATTTACATATGCATCTTTAATTAGGCAGGTAAGTAAACAACACAGTATGTGACATTATAGCAAGAGGTATACACATGCATGGATATATTATATTGATGAAGTAGATTTAAAACCGTTTAGTGTGCAAGCATGCTGAAACCTTTTCTATAAGGTTTTTTAAAACTGCAATATATAACATAATTGCTTTTGATTAAGTATTACAATACGACGTGATTATTAGGAAATTCATTTCACACAACAGTGAAAATGAGCCTGTTTAAAGATGGCAAGTCAATTATCACAAGCTACAGTAATCTCTGATCCCTAGAATTAATCTGAGCTCTAAATAATTACTGAGCTTTAATCAGCTAGTGAAATGTTTTGCATTTCTCTTTGATTCTGCTTTATGAATGACTAATAAATTAATATTTCTGTACGGAAACAGAAATAAAAACTCCAAACAATTAGATAATTCCATTTTGAATTTTGCTATTGAACTGTTAAATACAACCATTAATCTCAGATCATTTTGTGAAACCTTTCTTGGGCCGTAGCTCTGAATCGTGGTCATTTTATATTTTCAAGAAACTGTATAATGACGATTCTGCTGATGTGGTCATAAATTATCTTCTTTTGTCACTTTTGCTTCACAGGCCATTCTCGAATCTCCAGAAAAGCAGCTAACACTAAATGAAATCTATAACTGGTTCACACGAATGTTTGCTTATTTTCGGCGCAATGCTGCCACGTGGAAGGTAAGCTTTCTCCCAGGCCTGCTTAGGCGTGGATCTTGCCGTTTTTTAAAAATTTTTTATTAATGTTTTTTTAAGTTTATTTATTTTGAGAGAGAGCACGTGTGCGAGTGAGGGAGGGGCAGAGAGAGAATCCCAAGCAGGCTCAGTGCTTTCAGCACAAGCCCCACACAGGACTCGATCCCACAAACCGTGAGATCACCACCTGGGCCCAGATCAAGTGTCAGACACTTAACCAACTAAGCCAACCAGGCACCCCGGATCTTGCCATTTACAAAAGAGCGTGTTGTAAGTTACATGTGTATTGTTTTGAGGCACATCAAGAGTCAAATTTATGGGAGTATTTTATGGAGAAAATAGTTTATTGGGATTCTCCTGCTACACTGGCATCAGATTTATCATTTCTTTCTGGTTATATAATATGTAGGGAAAACTCATGCTTTGCAGTCTTAAGTTACCACCAGATTTTGCCAAGATGCATCGCTAACTTCTTTTTCCACCAGGGGAGATCAGATAAACTTCACATAACCTTCACAGGTTTTATAAAAACAAAAAAACACACACAAAACAAAAAGCTCCTTCCTGTAATTAGTAGAGAAACCTAGAGAATCTAAGTAGTAACACTGTATGGGGGAGTCATTTCAGGAGAGCAAAATACATTATTAAAGTTTTTGAATTTAGCTTTTTTTTTTTTTTTTTTTGCATCAAACATCAAACGATTAATCCAAGATTCATAGATAGTCTGAAAAAGAAAATTCTGTACCTTCACTCTAACACCATTTGCTATAACACAGACCAGATTCCTCAACTCAACGGGGGAAGGCCCTCACCAGACTGGAGGATCACAGATTCCTTTAGTATTTTTTCTGCTATATTCATTGAAGCCCTCACAAATTTGTGATTCTTTACTGCTCTTAATTTCTTGGTTTCACTGTTCCTGCTACAGAAGAGGGCAGGTCCGATGTGACTTTTTTTTTCTTTTACTACCTAGAATTGTTAGACTCCCCAAATTCCACCACATTCAGGAACATTTAAAATGCAAATATCTTAGGATATGCTACATGTCATTATTATAAATATAGAGATTTATGATAGGATGCAAAGGAAATTTGCTTTGCTACATTTTAAATTTTAGACAGGACAAAAACAAAAACAGAAAACACATTTCCTCTGTTACGTTCTTGATAAATGAGCATTTTAAAATACAATGAATATAACTGTAGAATTAATTTATCAACGTTACACAGCCCTGTGTATCTGTTATGGCTCAAAGTGTCCCTTTTTTGTTTCCATTAAAACACGTGGGCGCTGAAGGAGACCTCTGTTGAAGATCTTACCCTTTCTTCCTCAGCCTCCCATAGGAGATAAAGTACAAAGTATCTTGAGCTATGAATGCTTTTCCAGCTACAGGAAGTATAAGCATGAAGCAGACATTTTCTTCCAGTTGCCTTTTTTAAATAGCAAATGATCAAATTTAAAAATAATTACTAGTTGTGAATATGAAATTTAAGCTCAGATCTACAGCTTTAAGTTTTTCATTTTTGCAAACTACAGGAAAAAGTGCCATCAGGATGAACAATCCTAGATAAAGTCCTGAATGACTCATAAACACGTATACACTTCTCTGCGTGTCCTCGTTTGTATTATAATCTTAAAAGATGAAGTGCCCAGTTTAAGTTACGACTAAAAGGGGCTTACTCATCTTTTTGGGAAAACTGGATTTCTAGATACTTTCGTATCGACGTGCAGTCTTGGAAAACAAACCCTAAGTTTGAGTTTCTATCTTACGTGGCCGTATGTGCTTCAGACAGATCGATAGCAATCCTTCTGGCACATGTGGTTTCTTTAGACCTTTTGCAGGGCTAAACATGTCGATGCTTATTTTTAAATATTAGACAATGATAAGGTTGAAGGGAAATGTTGATTTCTTTCCCATTTGTGTCTTCTCTGTGTATACATGAGCCGTCTGGGATTTTTTAAAAGAAAATTGGGGTTTATCTTAACCTCCTCAGGATTACTCTTACAGGAGGTAAGAGGAGACTCGAAGTATCCCTCTGCTGTGCCTTCGTGCAGTATAAAAAAAGAAAATGCTTCTTGAAAGAGCAGACTCTAATTATACTTGGGAGGGCAAATTTCTTCCCGTAGAACATGAGAAGACATTGCAGAGATTTTTCTTTTGTTTGGTTCTTACGCAAACCTCTTGCGCCACTTGGAATCAGAGGTGTCCTTCCATAAGCAACTGGGTGTTTTGAACCTCCCCCAATTATGCTGACATTGCTCAAAAACTCTGAGACTTTATCCTGTGGATTCCCCTTGTGAGGAGTTGGTAACTTAGCTGTGAAATAAAACTTGCCTCCTTATCTTCCGGATTGAAACAGAAAAATCCTCACTCTCTGGTTTGACCCCTCACGGAGTCACCGGTGGTGATAACCTAAAAATGGAAACCCTTCTCCGGAAGCTTGGAGAGGGAGGGCCGCAGGTGGCACCAGACGTGGAATGAGGGAGTGGAGGTACTGTGAGGCTCGGGAGATGGGATTGCTGCGCCCCCTCTTCCTGCCACAGTGGTCACCTTGCTTCTTCCCTCTAAGAAGAAAGTTTTGAGTACATGACGTGAGTCTTTCTGCAATGTCCTTGTGGCTCATTTTTCAACCAAGAAGGCCTCCTCCTGGCCCCGTTTTTTCTGAAAATCAAAGGAAAGATAAGCTGTTGAGTTGAGATCCCCTTTCTGGTGGAGTGTAGATGGCAAGGGTCTCAGAATGATCTTAGAAGTGACTTTTAACCTCTAGAAAGAAACATGGTTGGGGGGGTGGGGGGGGGGAGAAATATGCGTCTTTAGGAGCCATCAGCTTCAGGAGTATCTTGTTGCCACTGAGAGTTCTGCTCATGTGCTCCTGTGGCGTTTTCTCTTCATTAAGATAATTGCCCTTAGCAGGGGCCAAGTTTTTGTAGATACTGGGGAAGGTAAGCATAGCTTGATGACGGATACCAATGCACTGGGGATCGTGTCATTCCCTTATCCTGTCACCCACAGGAGACAATGCTCTCAATGGCAAAATCCAATTTAGATAAATCTGACAAAACCCGTAGAAGTTACTAAAGCCAAAATATTGAACAAAAAAGAACTAGAACAAAATGGACTTAACAGTCTTACCACCTGGCACGATTTCTTTATATACCCTTTTTTACAGGAGAGAAGTGGGGTTAAAGGGGACAGTTGTATGGTTTTACGTGTTTCTCTCTTTTGGAGTCATATTAACAATATTTTCAGATTTTTACTGTGAAACCTATTTGGAGCTGATACGCATATTAAGTATTTCTTCCAGTTCACTACTACCAGAGACGAAATTTAAATGCCAAAGTATAATTGATGATGGATAATTTTGGTTTTTGGTTTTTGGTTTTGTTTTTGTTTTTTAATTTCTCCTCTCGGAAGAGGCATCCTTCACCACAAGAAGGTCGTCCACGGGGGTGGTAGCTTCAGGTCTTGGGGACGGTGTTACAAATGTGGACTGTGAGGCTGAATGTACTGCTGATTTTGGAGTCTTTTCTTATAGCAAATGTAAATGTTCTCTCTTTTATACTTGCTGCAGAATGCAGTGCGTCATAATCTTAGTCTTCACAAGTGTTTTGTGCGAGTAGAAAACGTTAAAGGGGCAGTATGGACAGTGGATGAAGTAGAATTCCAAAAACGAAGGCCACAAAAGATCAGTGGGTAAGTCCACCATGTTTGAACTTCTTAGCCTAGCTTGGATTGTGCTATAACAAGTGTAAAGTAGAGGCTTTTGGCTGCTAGATGGTGTTAGACCAGAGAACTGGATCCACGTTGTCTCAATTAAGGGAAGCAAAAAAGCATTTCATCCCTCCTGTTTTGTATACCCACCAGTCCCCCTGCCCTGCTTGCCGGTCTTTGTTACATCACACGCTAGTAGCTTTTAGGTGGCAATGCATATTAACCCTCACAAACCATTTGCTTATGCTTATTGCATTTTATTTTCTTTTTCCTGTTCCCTGTATTGGATGTCTGTTCTGCCCCCCAACCCCGTCTCCTTTTGTTGCCACTCCATCTCCTTTGCTGCCGCTCCTACCCCAGGGTGCCATTCGCACCAACCTCTCACTGCATAAGTGCTTTATCAGAGTAGAGGATGAGTTTGGGTCCTTTTGGACAGTTGATGATGAAGAGTTTAAACGTGGCCGCCATATTCAACGAGGCCGTCCTCGCAAATACTGCCCCGATGAAAACTTTGACGAGCTTGTCGCACAGTAAGAGCCTTTACTTGCTTTTGTTTTTTTTTTCTGCTGTTGCTTTGGCTTTGCATGGTTGACTCATCCCATGTAGTTTTGCATTTCACCAAGTAGCAGTGCCACGGCTTTCTGCAATGGAACTAAATTGTGTGATTTGTACATGTATTTCTCTTGTTTCTCTTTGGAACACCAGTGCCTTGAATAATGCTTTTTTGACGTCTTTAATGCAAATATTGGTTGTATTTTGATTCAGCAGCTTAGCGGGGGGGGGGGGGGGGGGGGGGGGGGGGGGGCAGCGGGAGGGACCCTTTAAGCCCAGATGCTTTGGCGGGAAAAGGCAGCTTTTATTTAGAGTTAAAATGGGTCTTTAAATTTCTTGTTACTTGCTCATTCAGTGTAATAATGTAAGCGAGGTAAAATGAATGATTAGAGAGAAATCAATAACAGCAAATACACTTCCTTTAAAGGCCAGTCATAAATCCGGGTGACTTCCTCCTGGAAGCCACACCTTCCCTTCCGCGTAGGCTGGAGACCTTTTGTCTGCCCCTGATTAGTTAAGGGACACAGCACCAGATGTCCTCACCACCGCCACATGTGGCTGTGCGAGCAAGGTTTCATCCCAGCCTCTGTCCATAGGAACAGCCCTTCCTCCTCCGGTCATTCTGGAGTTGGACTCATGGAGAGGACTCTGCCGGCTCGCTGACCTCCCCTAGCCCGATGCCCCAGAGTTTCGGCCTTTCTTGTGGATTCATGGCCGCCACTAAAACTTGGCAGAGAGCGGTCCATATTTTTGCGAGAAAAACATTCCCCAGTGGAGGGGCTGGTCTAACTTAAGCCAGAATTGTACACCCAGGAGGATCCTGGAAGAGGAAAGTCATCCCTAGAGGCGTCCACCCACCCCAGCCCTATACTACAGTCCAGGGCTGTGGGGAAAACCTACCTTTTCTTGGGTTGTGTGAAGGGGGGAAATTTCGGATTTGGAAGGATACCAGGAAGCTTAAGATAAAACTTAGCTAGGAACTCAGGGGGAGGATTGCGTTTAACTTTGAGTTTTTATCTTTTTCTCATGCAGTAACCCTTCCCTTATTAAAAACATGCAAAGCAGCCACGCCTACTGCACACCTCTCAATGCAGCTTTACAGGTAAGATTAATGGTCGTCCCGAATATGCAGCAGAGGCCCGTGTCTCCCCCACTCATTTCAAAATATATTAGCCTCACTCTAATTAGATATTAAATTTTAATTCCGTTAAACTTTTTTCTTAAGTGCACAAAGCATCGTACTCCCTGGAGGCAAACACATTGGGCTGTTTCAGCATTAGCAGGATGCTTAGCATTTTGAATATTGTGGCAAAAAAATTAAAAGTTCACTTATTAATATTTATCAGCAGTATCATAATTTCCATCCTCTTATTTCAGAATTTCACTTGAGGCAAAAATACCACAAGTGTAATTACTCTAGCACAGCTATTAATGTGCTGGATGATAGGCCACTGGATCACATGACCTTCTATTGTTCACGGGCTTAAAGAGAAAGCAGAGCTTTTTATTTCTTCTTCTCAAGTCTGTTTTAGCATCTTTAGTCCATTGCGGGGGCAGGGGGAAGCGATCCCCATTCGGTTCGCTTGGTAAAACTACAAGGTTTCTGCTTGAACCAGAGAGGTGTTCAGGAGAACCCTTTACGTTCCCAGCAGATTGCTCAAGATTACATAATGAACGCACAGAATGTTTGTTTCCTCCTGACAGACCAGGCGCTCATTACATAACCAGCGTTACCCCGGGATGAAGAGCCTGGTAACGAGCAGGAGTGAGTTTACCCCCCAGCCCCGAGTTAACCAAGGCAGACAAGCCTTCTAGCCATCGCTTTCCTCAGTGATCCAGTTTGAGTGGGACCCCGGCTTCTTGCTAACTTTAAAAAGATATTTTCTCTAGATCGTTTGGACACATGTAATCCAGTGCCATCAAGAATTGTACAGCTCTTGATAGGCGTGCCTTTAACACCCCAGAATGGGTACTTTGGCCTTACAATGTGCTGTGCCCCTCCAGAGGGCCCTCATACACACACAGATACAACCATTTACTGAGAAACAACCAAATTTGAAAAAGACTCCTTAAGGGAGAAGGGGAGAGAATGAAAAATGGTTGAGATACTTAACCTTTTGGGAACAGAGCAAGTGCAGTGAAGAGGAGACCAGGACAGCGCCAGGTCGTCACTGAACAAACATTTTCTGGGCACCTAACCCGCCACCTCCAGAATCAGGACAGGCTCCCAGCAGCAGAGGCTCCACCTTTAACGCCGTTGCTGTTCAGAGGCAAATGCACTGAACTGAACTTAGCTTGTCAGTAATTATATTTATTTATTTTTAGCCTGAACCAACTTTACTAGGAGGAACTACTTTCTGAGTTTCTGTTAATTACTTGTAGTTTACACAGTAACTTTAGAAAAGCAAATGAGCGCATGCTTAGATGCCGCCACTGTAAATACCATTCATTAGTAACTTATTTTCCCTGGAGTCTTGTGAAGTGTGAATTTAAAGGCTGCTCTATCTGGAAGAGTATTAAGATTACAAGCACATTTTACATTCATGAGGCGGAAAGGAAAGAGAAAAAAAAAAAAAAAAAGGCAGTGATCCTCTGGATTCTCTTAACTATGTGACTGATTTAAATTAGCGTGGCTTATCCTGACAGACCTGTTCACGTTTCATCTCGAAAACGGTGGTTTTGGGCGTGCTCTGTCCCCTTCCTCTAGTCCCTTCCAGTGGTAACCCCAGCCTGTCCTGCACTCTCCCCACAACACTTTGCGTCCCTCACGAGGTGAGGCGAATACATGGATGCAGATTCACAATTTGAGGAATGGATCTTTTTTCCTCTCCTCTAGGAGTTCGGATCCGTGGTCAGTAGACAGTCTCCTGTAACTAACTTTCTGCTGGGCAAATTAAATCAGGATTCTACCAGCAGCCTTTGCTTCCCATGATTGCCCATTTCCATTTTTCAAGACAAGTAAAAATAATAGTGGAACAACATCTTAAAAAGATTACTAGAGCAACATAATGCATGATATACAATATATAAAATAGGACAGCAGAATCCACTACAGAAATAAAACATTGGACGTGAGACAGATTGCATTATGCTCTGAAAAAGTGAAGTAACTAAGGGTAACCGTAAAGCTTCTTATTTATAGACTGCCTTTCCCCCCGAGGATCCTGAGCATGGTTCATGTTCCAGGAGCAGTGCTACCTACAGACTTCTGCCCCATTGCTTGAGCACCTGAGTTTTGGGTTTTTGGGAGTTTTGGGGTTTTTTTCTTTTTTTTTTTTTTTTTTTTGGCAGACGTGCCAGTGTGATACGAAACCACACACAGTAGTTCCCGGGACCATTTATATAATTAAGTCCATTATACAAATTGTAACCCACCTGCTCCCACTGTAGGCATCGGCTGCAAAAAAGAAGCACTTTGTAACACAACAGTAGTCGGTGGGAAATGTTTCTAACTTGTGGGGGGGGCGGGGTGTTTTGATCACTCACTCCACAAAGAATGTGCAAGGGGCTCTCCTTCATTCTCTTTGCTGCCCACTTAAGGGATAAGGCTCGCTTTCTTCACTCACATTTTGTTGCCTCACAACCAAAGGGATCAGTAGAAGTGCTTACCTTTTGGATGCCTTTCACCACTGTGGCTGTTGGGCCTCAGCCCATGTTTTGATTGACCTTCACCTGGGACAATAGGAGAGCCAAGGAGAACAGATCATCTTAAAAAGGTTGCTCTACCATAGGGTGACCAACTTCTTCCACAGAACACATTCTTACACATACTGCGGTTTTGCATTTACCTCTCAGTTTTTGACTTGAGAAGCTGCTAGAGAAACAAATCCCAAGCTCTAGAGATGCCCCCACTTGCACCAGGTTCTGACTGTGTAATAGTGAAATGCCCTCACGAGAGCTGACGGTTCCTGCTGAACTTCCATGATCCGGAGAGAGACGTGATCACGGAGTTGTCGCAAATCAAGGCAGTTAAGATGCTTGTCCAGCTGCAGTTTGCAAAAAAAAAAAAAAAAAAAACTGGCAACAGTTCCTGATTTTTGCTCGGCCAAAAAAAAGAAAAATGCTTTATTGCAATTACAACAGATCCGTTGCAAAAAGTACTTGATGCAAATTCTTTAACAAACTGTAGGAGAGAGGAGAATGTTCAGATGGACTGTTCATCAAAATGAGTTCACTACATTTGAAAATAAAAATGGGATTTACCCCCCACCCCTGCTTCTTGAAAGAAGGCAGTTAGGTAAATACAGAAGTGGAGGGAAGGGAAATCTGTGGGTTGCAGAGGGCCTGACTTTGAAATCGTCAGCGCCCAGTTAAACGAAGGCCCATCACGGGGGCTTGTATCTAAGAAGGCAGTCCTGGCTTTCACTCTGTACAGTGAGCAAGGCTGCAATTGTCATAACAGGCACATTCCCTGCAGCCCAGCTTTGCACCCGTTCTGTCCTCATTTTTGGCTCTTTCTTCCTCTCTAGAGCCAGGATTTCTAGAATACTTTGGACTCTTGGATGACTGGCCAATTGAAGTCACCGTGCCAGATTGTCTTGTGATTGTACTTTTTCCTCATTAGGATGGAAAGCCAGGCACGCTGTAGTCTGTAAGAAGACAGTTTTGATAAATCTTGGTCTAATTGCACTGCCAGTTTTTCAAAGTCTGCCCTCTTTAATAAAATGTAAAGTCACTGGGTCATAATCACTACCCACATGAAACAATGTGGATACTTTAGTCCAGGGTTGTATTTAACTGTTGGCTGCATTTTAGACTGGGTGGTCATTTTATCCAAATGCGGGAGTATAGGGAGTGAACAGTATCCCCCCCACCAGACTTTGGGATTTCTTATTTTCTCCAATTCCACACTTTTTTTTTCTTTTGCTGACACTCATATGGAGTGACAGGTATCTTTTTTTCTTTAGTCCTAAAATTCCAGGTGACCGGTCTGAGTCTGAAAGATTGAGATAACTGGTCGAAGGTAACACCACGCAAACTACACTAAACAGATTCAAAAATCATTAAAACCGAAATGATGGGGGTGGGGGGAGATAAAAATTGACTCCAATTCTATAATCTCTTCCTTTTCTATAGGATCTAAGAGGTAAATGTTTATGGAAGTTCTCATAAGTTTGAGCTGTGTGGCCAGAATAATTGGATCAAATCTTTAATATCCAATACTGGAGTCATCAAAGTGGATAAAGAAATGAAAATTCCATTATATTTCCCTGTGATCTGGAAATATTCAGTTCCTCTTGAAGGAAGGCATCAGACAGAAAGCTCATTTCAGATAGCCTTGTCTAAACCATGTGACTCTAACCCAGCAGGGCTGAATTGAGCCCTCCCTCCCCGTGAGTGCCTTGGGCCCTGCCAGCTCTTGGAAGCCGAGCTTGGGACATGGGTCCCAAGCCATACTGTGACAGCAGAATCCTCTTACACCTGGTAGAAACGTGTATTCTCCGGCCACACTGTCAACGTAACCAGAAGACCCCTGAATCCACCCCTAATTCGCTGCTCCTCCCTCTGTGCAGATTCTGTGTCCTCATGCATTTTCTCTCGGTTGCTAACAGGCTTCGATGGCTGAGAACAGTATACCTCTATACACTACGGCTTCCATGGGAAATCCCACTCTGGGCAACTTAGCCAGCGCCATACGGGAAGAGCTGAACGGGGCAATGGAGCATACCAACAGCAACGAGAGTGACAGCAGTCCGGGCAGATCCCCTCTGCAAGCCGTGTGAGTACCGCCCACCCCCGAAGGCCTCTGCATTCGATGGGCACACGGGCTCTGCCCGAGCTGCTTTTCCTGCCCTCGCTGTGAGTTCTGCTCGCCTACAACCGAGGTAGAAGTCGGTGCTTCTGGAAATGGTTAGCTCGGTTAGCACATAAAAGGACCATTTATACTAACGTTCCCATAAAAGCAATCAGCTTCATGCAGCCCTACAAGTGCACACGGCAATAAAATGGGTGACTCATTTGCTTTTTTTTCCCCCGGCTTGGCATCTTGGGCCATTATTTAAGCCACATTACCTTTCCCTCCTAAAATCGGTACGCGTCTCTGCGAGGTTGCGCAACTTGCGGGCGCGCCGAACCTGGCAGGGGGAGAGAGAGTGCTTGTTTACCTGATTGCGGTAGTCCGGCCCGGGACCACCACGCCAAAGCGTGGTGACCGAGCATTAATGATGGCACCGAGGAAAGGCGGCGTGATTTATAGATTGCTCTTAAAATATCAAAAGGAAAATTAATAGGAGCATTATAGCAGCAGACGGCAGTATAATGAGCACCATATAACTGAATGAAGTGATGGGCGATGGTTTCCCTTGCTGAACGTGAACGGCACGGGGCCTGGGCCAACCACCCGAGAGGCTCTGAGGCCTCCCGAGCGGAGGAAGGGCCCCCTGTCCGCCAGGGAAAGTTGCAAAGAGAAAAGCAGCCACATTTTCCCAAGTGATTGCGTTTGCAGGGGATGCTGGAAGAGTGAGTGCAGTCTCTCCCTTTTAGCAAATGGCTGCTACGCTGTTGCCCCTTTAAAGAGAGAAGTCAATCCAACCTTTCCCATACTGGCACCTCCTGGAATCGGCCACTTGTCTACACACAGTTTGTGAATTCCTTGACCGACATCTTATTTTAAGATCATTTGAGTGATAGTGTCACCTGGAGTGATGAGGAGCAGAAGGAATTGGCATCTAATGACAACGCGGGGGGCGGGGGGGGGGGGGAGATGCTGTCTGCCAGGGGAAGGGGTGGGTTCAAGGGAATCTGAAATTTGATGATTTAGCATCTGAACTCCATGCCCAAAGAGCTTTGAAAAGGATCTTTAAAGATGGAAATGATCATTTTTAGTTGACAGGAACCGTCTCCTCACATTTAGTACACAACACATTAAGAATGCGTCTGTCTTCCGCACTGATACTGCCACACATCATCGCCTCTAAAGCAATCTGGTGTCCCCGACTTGATTGTTATCACGCTCGTGTTCATTTTTAAATCACTGTCATGACAGGAGTGTTTACTCAGATATTAAGGAAGTTCAGAGCAAATATAAATTGGTATATAAGCCACTTCAAGCAATACCCATTAAGGCAAATACATCTGAAGTTGCTGGATGGAAGAGACGATTTCTCACGACCTGTACACACTCCAAAGGGTCGGTTGATGTATATTCCTATTCTTTAGTGCAAAGGATTCCTGGAGAGAGAGAGCTATTTGGATCAAAACCTCAGGCAACAGTGTAGACTGATGCTAATTTTGCCGTACACGATAAAGCCCCTCCAAAGGTAATCACTTTGAATTAACCCCTGCATGACCAGAAACCCTCTTTCACAAGCCGCAGGGATTTTAGCGAAATGAAGGTTTCCCTTGTTTTCCGTCATGTTTAAGGAAACCCTATGTAAAGTGTCCCCGGCTTAGGCGGTTTGCTGAATATAATTATGTGTTAACAGCACCGTCCCTGCTTCTGGTGTCCGTGTCACAGAGTGTTACTCCTTTTGACCCTCTGCTTCCATCAAGCGCGCAGTTTTCCTTCTTGGGCATCATGCATTACCCCGTGATGATGCAAATTGTTTCTTAACTGTTCTAGTCTATTGGAATAAATCAAGCCGTAAACTTTATGGCGTGCCTTAAAGAACCTTGTTAGGACCTGCAAGCCCAAGCTCCGATCTAGTGTGGAAACAGAGCTCTTCATTCTTACCCTTTGTGTGACACTCCAGTACTACAACGTTTTTTCTCCTTTGAAACACTAGAAAGTACTCCCATAATTATGGCTTTGGGGCATTATACTTTTATCCTGATAGGAGCTAACGGAGCTACAAAGCAAAATACTCCATGCTGTGCACACACCCTCAGAACACAGTGCCTCTAAACACCAGTCAGCTTTAGTTAAAAACTCTCGTGTTCCCAGAGTGGCTAAACAAAGGAATTACTCAGATGTAAGAAGGGAAATGTGTGGTTTTGCACAGTTACTCATTGGGAAGTAGGAGATGGAGAGAGAGAGGTGGGGCAGGGGGCTGATGTGCAAGATGGCGCATCCGTGCAGTTCCGATTTCCAGGAGACACGGGCGTGTGTGCGCAGAATGGTCTCTTAACTAGTTTGCATCTTACCTGAAATGTATCTTGCTTGGAAATCCATTCGCTTTTATTCTCTGAAGCACCGCGTGCCCGTGTGACTACATTTGCCACGCTCAGGGGGATCTGCTGGTATCAAGAAAGGTTGTGAGGCTGGACTGCATTTCTCGGGAGCTTTAAGGAGCCTTAATATCGAACTCAGTTGTGTTGTCAGGCTGTCACACAGATCTCGTCAGTTAGCATTTATCGGGGACCCGCTCGGCATCAGGCACTGGGGCGAGCCAGCACGCACGAGAGGGTCTTAACCTGTGTCTTCAGGACCGTAAATAATCATACCCGAGTTTAGCTGCAACTTTGAAGGGAAAACAAAATATTCTCTGATGTGACCTGTGTTTAGGGAGACTTACACTCTATCTGGTTTGGTTTTGTTTGTTTGGTCAGAGTCAAAAATTAGAAAGCAAGAACTTCATGAAGAACGTTCTGTCTCTCAGTCTTCCTACCCCCTCCCAACGCAAATTCAGGTTTATAAACCCAAACAGATTAATAATTCTGATCTCTCAAGGAAATAAAAGTAGGAAAATGTTGATCCAGGATACTACAGGGAACTTTAGTACAGGGCTTGGTAACACATAGATAACGTTTCTCGCCAGACGTTACCAGTGGAGAAGAGGGGGTAATTTTTGAAGTAACAGAGCTACTGAATAGTGAAAATATGATACTGCAATACGAAGAAATGTTTACCATTCTCAGTGATCCAAGAAAAGCCTTTTAAGGTAATCTGAGCTTACCTCACACCACTAAGCAAAAAAATATTTTAAAATATATTTATGAGGGGCACCTGGGTGGCCCAGTCGGTGGAACATCTGACTTCGGCTCAGGTCATGATTTCGCAGTTCGCAGGTTAAAGCCCTGCGTGGGGCTCTGTGCCGACAGTTCGGAGCCTGGATCCTGCATCTCCGTCTCTCTCTCTCTGCCTCTCCCATGCTCTCGCCCTCTCTTTCTCTCAAATCTAAACAAACATTAACCAACAAATTTCTCTAAATAAAAGTTAACACCTGGAGCTGATGAAGCTGAATCTAAACTGATAGAGCCCCTTTGGAAATTAATACTATAATAAATCATAAGACCATAAACATGTTTTTGGCCTTTGCTCCCAGAATTTCATTCTTAGAAATTTATCCTGCGGAGGTAAATCACCAGAAATAGGAAGATTAATGGATAAAAGTGGTTACTGTATTATTCAAAGAGCAAAAGAAGGGACGAGAAAAAGACAGTCCTAAAACATCCAGCATTAAGGGACTCATGTGACCACACAGGGGATCTCATGTAGCCATAGAAATTACAACTGGAAAGGAAGCAAAATAATCTGACCTCCGTTATGTATGCGGTATGTAAAAATACTAGCCCAAATCAGAATGGGCAAAAACAAAAAGCCTTATTAATTTGGCTCTATGGGTGTTTTGTTTTTAAAGGAGTCATCATCATTACACCTAATTCTTCCCCAAAGAATAGAGGGTCTCCTACCAGGGCTGGCTTCAGCGGTACAGTCAGAGGTGTCAGTACTCTGCCATTTCCACACTGAAGTCCTTCCTGATCTTTGAACCACATCTCTTTTCATGGGGGCTTCGCAAATGACAGAGCCAGTCCTGGGTCTTCCTGTACAAACACAAATAAGTAGGACCACTGAACAAACTAAAAAGAAGATGGGAGCCCGACCATTAAAACGCACTATACCACAACTTCGATAAATTCCGTTTTGCAAATAGTTGTTAAGAATGCGGGCACACTTTTTTGAAAGCTATTTATCCTGACATCTACCCCCAAACACTCTCTGGGCTGTGCTAATTTTAGAGTCAATTGGTTTTCTGAGGGTTCACATCATCAAGGGCAGTCCAAAGCACTCCTGTTTGTTTTTAAATGGTTCGAGTGGCCTTTGGGGTTTGCATACATCAATTATTTAGGAAGTCAGCCGTCCCCAGTACCACCTCTTATTACTAATACTTGATAATGTCAATTAAAAAATCCTCCCTTCCGCAGCCTGTCCCAGCGATGGGACCATTTTAACTTGAATGGTTCTTTTACATATCAAAAGGCTTGCAACAGAAAGCAATTTGTGTTTGCAAAGGATCGGTTGTAAATATGATTTACGAACAACATCTCTCAATTGTTATCGGAGCGGTTTCTCGGATCCCGGCCGTCCCCTTCAGGTGAACCCTGTGCGGGCCCATAATGAGAAAGTTGGCAGAGCTCGTCACAGGCTGCGGGTCCCGGTGGCCGCGACCAGCCGGGCCTCTTGTTTTGCCTTGTTTACAGCTGACAGCGTTATTATTCTGATTGGGGCTCTGCTCTCTTATCATATTGTTGTGTTGGGCGAGCCTTTTCCTCTCCGTTTGTGTTTCCTGGCAGGGCTTTTCTCGCCTTATTGACAGTTTGTAAAAATATGCATTAATTTGGAGTTTCAAGCATGTATCATGGTGTCTCTTTGCTGTGTTTGCTTGAAGTTGATTAATGATAGAACCTCGCTTGGGGTCAGTCTCTGGAGACGACTTTCACAGGTTCTGCATGTTAACGAGCAAAGCAGAACACACAGCAAGCCGTGATTAGCCCAGCCTCCCGCACTCCGTGGGCCCCCCGACCACCGTTGTATTACAGATTCTCATTTCACATCATTCTTGGAAGATTTGTATTCTTCCACCCAGGATGCCCCTACGGGGCCTGTTATCGAGTACTCAAAGTGTGGGCCCCCTCGGACCAGCAGCATTGCCTGGGAGCTCGTCAGACATGCAGAGTCTCGGGCGCCCTCCCGCCCCTCCCCCCCCCCCCCAAGCCCTGCTGAGTCGCACGCGGCACTTTAACAAGAGCCCAAGGTGGTCTGAGTGCGCTTTAAAGTGTGAAACACACCCCCAGAGGAGACAGGCTGCCGCTGGCCGGGGATTGTTCTAGAGCAGCACCGCCCTACGAGACCTTCCGCCATGATGGAAATTTTTCTCTGCCTGCCGTCCGGTATGGTGGCCATGGGCCTCACGGGGCCCTTGAGAGCTAGAAACGTGGCCCCGTGAGCCCTTGAAACGTGGCATGGAGCAACTCCATTTCAAACTGCATGACGTTTTCCGTAATTTGAATTTAAATACCCACAGTCCAGTCCTCCATCCAGGGAGGCTTTTGTGGCCCCAGACCCCCAACTTGCCTCGGTCGGTCGGGAAGGGCGTTCGGTGAACCTGTCTTCGCTTCTTCCAGGCATCCTGTGCACGTCAAAGAAGAGCCCCTCGATCCGGAGGAAGCTGAAGGGCCTCTCTCCTTAGTGACAACAGCCAACCACAGTCCAGATTTTGACCACGACCGAGATTACGAAGACGAACCAGTAAACGAGGACATGGAGTGAGCGTCTCCGGGCGGGCCAACCCCCAGAACGAAGATCGGGAAACAGAACAAAACAAAACAAAACACGTCAAAAGTTAGCGGTGAAATTGTTCTCCACTTGTTGTACAGTCTGGAGGATTTTCACTCCATTCGGACACCTCTGAAACGTGTTAACTCTGAGTGCCATCAAGAATCCCATTTGGGAGTATTTTTGATTTTTCTACTTTTTGTTGAAAAAAGGAATTTGTACTCTGTGCATTGGATGGACTTGTTTGGTACTTGGGATTTTCCTCTCCTAACAGTCAACATCAGTGTTGTAAATTTGCTAAACTGATTCACTTTTAGCAGCAGACTCGGAACTGCCGTCCTGCTGACGCCGCGGGACACCGAGGACACCCAACTGAGCATGTGCGTCTGAGCTGTAGACCCAGCCTCTGCCCAGAATTTAAGGATTCCAATGGACGACCTATTTGCACAGTACTGCATGTTAATTATCACTGCCTTTATTGCTTTTTTTTTTTTTTTTTTTGGTTCGTTTTTGTTTTGCTTCCAGTTGGGATGGGGAAGGCCTTTGTGTGTGTATGGGGGGGAGGGGGTTAAAAAGTAATTATCCCAGACTTTTTAATGTATTGCCTTTTTTTTTTTTTTTTTTTTTTGCTTCTACTATACCATTTTAAGTTCTGACCTCAGGCCTCCATTTGGGCCCACGGCCTCCTGGAGGCTTAAAGTTTTCTGTACCTTGTGATGAATGTTAATAGGTGTTTTTATTATACAAAGCTGAATGTCATTTCTCGTTTTGTAGTTTTCTGTCACTCATTCCATTTTCCTTCAGACATCACCACGTTTTCTCTGAAGTCAGAAAACATTCCGTTTTGGTCTTTTTCAAAAAGGTCCCAAATGCTGCACTCTCTACACATGAAGGTCCTCTCACACAGACCTGAAGTCCTGCCAGAAAGAGAATGAATGACAGAAAAATAAAATTAAAAGAGAGAGAGAGAGACACCCTAGGAACAATGCAGATTCATTCTACGAAGCAGTATTCGAGGTGGGAAGGGGGTTGTTTTCAGATTTTTTTTTTTATTTAATTTTTTTCGCAGCCACCATCCTCGTCAGTAAATGCCACAGCATTCTGCCAGCACAAGGCAACGTAGGCAGCACTTAGCCCCCAGATTCTCCCAAGAGACGGACAGCGTGGCTGCGGAAGGCTCTCCCTCGGGTCACCAAGTTGCCGTGGGCCACAGGTCTCTGACGTTAAAACCCGCGCGGGTTGCTTTGTTTGCAACATGGCCAAAGAGGTGGCTTCCCTGAGCAACTCTGCTGAAAAGTGGTTGGCGGCGCTGAATTTAAACCTCAGTCCAGACCTGCTTGGTGGCATTAATCTGTTTGAATGCAAATGAGATTTCAGATTGAATTTGTTAGGGAAGTTAATGAGGACTGAGTTCAGCAAATGCTGAAGCGTTCATTTCAAACGTGCAAATTCGGTCCTGCGATTGGGTTTGTTATGCAATAGGATCACACCGAGCCCGGATCCACTACCCACAGTGGGAGACCCAGAGGAGACAGGGGCGCACGGTGCCCTTGCGCGTTGGGGGAAACAGACGTGGCTTGCAGGGCGTGATGGTCGTCAGTCAGTGCCACCTCAGTCCTGAGAACCCCTCACTGCTTCCACTCTGCACCCGCTTTCCTGTCACTCAGTTATTTATCTAGGACCGTAGCTCTTGTTTTGTTTTACTTTGAGAGCCTTTTGGAGCTTAATTTATATTCTTTGTACCTTTTTTTTTTTTCTAAAATTACCAAAGATCTTCCACAAAGGTAAATTATGTTCTCTGTTTTATGCTTTATCTGATGAAGCCAAATATCCTCTTATTGATCAAAGGAGGCGAAAGAATTTAGAGGCAATTGATCAGTTCTAGGCTATTGCTAACCTGAGAAAGAGAACTCCTTCTTCATAGAGTAAATTTAGAAGACCAAGTAGGTAATGGAACCAAAGTTGTTACTTTCTGTTTTTGTTTTTCTTGTTCTGTACCTCGACAGAGACCAAAACTCCTAACGAGACATTATGGGGCTGCTGCAGGTGAAAATAGGGCACAGCGTGTTCGAGGAGCGAAAGAAGGCAGGGAGTCCCATCCCCCAAAACACGAACGGATGCCACTGAAAATTGGGGGTAACCAGTAAAGGAGACAGTAAAGATAAGATGTAAAGAAAACGGAAAAGCTTCTCCATCGGAACTCAGTCACAGGCGCGTTTCTAGAGGACATGTTTGTTTTTGCTTCTACAGAAAGACTGTATGCCACTTTGCTTTTAAGGACCGGGCTAGGGTCACTGCATTAATTTTGCTTTGTCTTGGCCTATACCTTCCGGTTTTTTGTTTTTTGGTTTTTTTTTTTAAATGTTTTCCTTTTTCCTTCCTTTTTTTTTTCCCCCAATTAGGCGTTGGTCAGCGCTTTTCCATTAAAAAAAAAAAAAAAAGTAACACTCCCGTCCACTCATGAGCTTGGTACAAATACGTCTTTGGCCATTTCTTTTGAAGCTTCACTGTGCTTTCTGTAGAAAGGGCAGTCTGTGCTCATTCGAGACTTTTTTTTTTTTTTTTTTTTTTTTTTTTTTTAACTTTTCCAGGCAGCTTCCTGATGTGCAGGCAGTAGCCAGACAGGGTCATGGGAAGGGGGCCCTGTGCTTCTAAACTGAGTGGTTGCTGGTTCGTTTGGTATTCAAAAGAGGATAAAAATCTGGTAGATTAGTTCATTCTCAGCATGTGTAGCTAGACATGAGTAAAGATAACAGCATGAGAAACTGTTAGTACGCATACCTCAGTTCAAACCTTTAGGGAATGATGAAAATTTTAAAAAAAAAATACATTTCACTCAGTTGCACTTAGTCGTATGTCTTGCATGCTTAGTCTAAAGACTGTAGCAAAAAAGAAAAAAAAAGAAAAATTAGATTTTACAGATCTTTGCAGGTCTCACAGCCCTGCAGAAGAACCAACTGAAAAAAAAAATTTCTCAGGCTTTACAGCAAGCAAACTTCACTATGATTTTTACAATTCTGATTCTGTATCCCTTGGGTGGGAGGGCGGTATTCCAGTCACTTCTTTAGGATGGGGTTTATTATGTTGTACATATATTCCAATGTGTCTGTGTGGATCTTTGTCTTTTTTGGGGGAGGGCGGAGGGCGGTTCTTTTTTTAGATATTGTTCCTAAAAAGGAATAAATGCATACACCTGTTTGTCAAAACACCTTTGCTTTTTGTGCAACTGCTTTATATTAATGATACTAAAAAAAAAAAAAAAATAGCTTTGGAAAAAAACTACTGTATGTAATGGAATTGCAGAATTTGCTGCACATGTATTTTATTTAGTTATCCTTGCTTTAAGAATATTGGATGACATTTCCTGACATGTGGGAGGGAGAAATTCCCTAACCTTTTTTTTTTTCCTTTTAAATTGTAACATAGTTGACAGATTTTTTTTTTCTGTTCTCATTGATCAGAGCATTTTGTACAGATTTGTGTGTGTGTGCGCGTGCGCGTGTGTGTTAATCTGTTTTTTGATACATTCCTATCCCTTGTGTTTATCCCACCACTGCCTTCCTGGCTATCTGAAACAAGTTCATACATTTGAAAAGAGAAAAAAAATGCTGTTTTAAAAAATGTTTTCTCCTGCTGCAGTAAATATTTTGCATGATGAAATTCCAGGGTCACACTTTCAAAGTTTATCAGTGAAGTAGTGATTAATAATGGGGAGTTGTCAGAGCTATTGAACTTTTTGTATAAAAAAAAAAAAAAACTTTAAAAACTTTACAAGGTGCCAAGATGTAAAGACAATTTGTTTTTCTTTCTTCTTTTTTTTTTTTTTCCAAAGAAAAGCGTACATTAGGGAGATAGTCCCTTACAGGAGGCAAATGCACGGTCAGGAATGAAAATCCATCCTACTTGCCCCTAGAGTCTGTCCTTGTAAGACAAGTGATGCGGCCCGCACTGAAAACCAGCAAGTGAGATGACATATCAAGGCTTCTGTGCGTGAAGAGGGACCGCCACCTTCGGACAGCGCTAACGTGACTTCCAGCATTCCGTCAGACCTAGGAAAGAACGCCTTGGATTCTGAACCCCAAATCTGATTGATGTAAATCACTAGCTATTTTATCATGGGGGGGGGGGGGGAGTTAAAAAAAAAAATATCTCCTCTACTTTCCACATTCCAGCTGAGCTCCGTTTCCAAGGGTACAAAGAAGAACATGCTCATAAGGATTTTGAATCTTTTGGGTACCTGTTGGTTAATGGTATATATACCCTCTTGATATTTTGGATGTTTTTGAATGTCGGTTTTGCTTTTTTATCCTGAGAATGAGACTTAACAAATCTAAAGGCATTTTATGGGGCCGGTGCAGTTCACACAATGTCTGCTACCCAGAAGCCTTGACGAAGACGGTGCCGTCCGGACTGTGAGCACGGTGCTTCGTAGATACTTGCTGCCAGGAACCAGAATTCTTTGTCTTGTTTTGTTTTGATAAGGCATAAAAGAAACTCATTCCTTGACATCAACTGTAATTCCATCATTCCGTGTCTGTGGATACAGACAATAAAAAAAAAAAATGTTGTGTAGTCAGTACTAATTACTGACATTATAGCATTCCCAAATGCAATAAAAATGCTGGTTGTTCACACTGGTAGTAAAAAGTCGCCACAGCCTAAGTTTCTTTCCCCTTCTGACCTGCTGGTACTATACGGCAGGCATATGCCTTAGGTTTATCACCAGCTGCTTCTAACACAGAATTAAAATCAATCTTAACCAAAAGCTTTCATCACCGCAGAGGGCTGACGCTCTCACCCTCAGGATTTCAAAGTGCAAGTCTCCACTTAGAAAACTGGAAAAAACAAAAGAGCTAGAAGCTACCTTTTTTCCCAAGGAAGTACACCCTTATTTTTCTTCATCAAATTTTATACAGAAAAAAAACAAAATGTTTAATAACTAGCATTAAGAGCAAACTAAAATTTCACAGGAAAGCAATTTCATGAATAATTCATTAAAATTTCACATCTGCAAGATTAGTCATCCAAATAAAATGCTAATGTCAAAAACATGCACCGTCTATAATATTCTCATCAAGAAATCTTTTTGCATATAATGATAAATGCTTAGATTAGAACAAATGATTTTATAAAAATATTCTATCAAAACTATGCTAGATAACCACATCCTGTACAGAAAACGGTGAAGCTCCAGGAAGTAAATATTCCAGACATGCCATCTTGATTTCAAGATTTGTTTCACTGCACACCTTGATAAAAAAAAAAAAACCCTGCTATTTGTCTTTTAAATTAGGATGTCGTATATATTCTAAGGATTGATGAGATTGGGCATCATCTTTCAGTAAAAATTAAATTGGTATATTGAAAACAGCACTTGAAGTGGCCAAACCGTAGTAATATAAAACCCTTCTGGATGTAATTCAGAGCATAACACAAGCCAAAAGAGGACTCGAAAATTAACCAAGCTGCCGTTCGGCCAAACACCGGCTGCCGGTGAGGAGCACGTAAATGT